GCAGAAGCATTTCTCTATGTTTTCTCCCATTCTGTGTGCTCAGAGCACAGACTAAGCCTGCATCCATCCCCTGCTTCCATCCCCTTCTGCTCTGGGATCCTCAGACATCTCAGGCTGTGCTTTATCCTAGCAGCTGCGTAACGAAAAATCATACTGTAAATTCTATTCCTAAGGAAAATGCACTCAGTTTTACAATTTTTAACAGGTCAGTGATGTTAGACAGAGCTGAAAACCTTCTTCATGACCACTATGGAGGGAAAGATTACTGGAATGTGAGTATTTCCCAGTTGGCTTCTCTAGACTTTCTGCTTGGTTCTGATCAAAATTCAATAACTGATATGTGCTTCAGCTTTGCCTCGGGTTTCTTTCCTTGAAAGCAACTCGTGTCTTGTGTTTCAGTGGTAAATGCTCAGGATGGTCTTCAGGCTGCTGTGGAATTTGTCCTGTTGTCTTGTCCCCAAAGACTCAGTGCTGCAGGGCACTGTGTTCAGAAGGAACATGTCTGCAGTCAGAAAGGAGCTGCCTTTGTGCAGCTTCTTGCCTAGTCAGCCTCAAGATCAGACTTTTTCAAAAGAATTCCCCAAAGTGCTCAGTGTTGTCCCAACTGTCTCCCCCTTTGCTTCAGTGGCAAAATTCCCATGTGTTTCAAGGTAACACTGAGCACTTTGGGAGGCCCTGCTCCAGGGTGTGTTGCTTGTAGTGCTGTGGGGGTGTTATCAGGAGTAACTGCATCCTGGAGGCAGCATGTGAAGCTGTCTCCATGGAGTCGTTTGCAGCTCTGCCTTTCCCCAGTATCCCCCTCTGCTGGTGTCCCCACAGACCCGCCGGAGCATGGTGTTTGCTCAGCACCTCCGCCTGGTGGGAGACCAGTTCAGAAACAAGTACCTCCAGTCCACGGATGAGGCAGACAGGACTCCTTACAAAGAGGACTGGACACAGATGAAGGTAAAATCCTGCGAGTCTCTTCCCCGTAACAAATGTAATCAGTATTTTGTGTCCTCCTGGCTGCACTTTGCAGGGACAATTGTGAGATGTATGTGAATGTAGCTCTCCCTGCTCAGATGGAGGTGGGGGTGTTGCTGCTGTACCCTCTTCTCCCTGTGACATGAGTTAGCAGCCCCTGTTGAGATGTGGCTGACTGCTTCTGAGTGCCACATCTGTTTCCCTCATTTCACTAAAGGAGCTAGTATTTCTTCATCATCTGTGGGTGTAAAACTCAGCTGCAGACTGCCTGTTGTGGGTCTGGTCAAGGAGAGCAGTTTTGTTTACCAGGATGTTGTGCTCTAGTATCTCCTGTATGATGCAGGCCACCCAAGGCCAGCAGGTTGCAGAAGTGTCCCAGAATACTGCCCATCCACACCTTAACATTCCTTTCTGCAGCCAGAGCAATTCAGTTCCTTATCCAGAGGCATTCAGGCCTTTTTAGGGTGAATGAACAGTGGTGCTCTCAAGTTTCATTGCTCTTTCTCTCTTAGGTTAAGATGGGCACAGCTCTGGGGGGTCCATACCTTGGGGTTCATCTCAGAAGGAAAGACTTCGTCTGGGGTCACAGAGAAGATGTCCCTTCCCTGCAAGGAGCAGTAAAGAAAATCCGCAGCCTCCTGGAGATCCATAAACTTGACAAAGCCTTTGTAGCCACTGATGCTGTTGAGGAGGGTAGGCAGATCATAGTCAATTTAGGATTCATAGCTTGATGAGGGCAGCAATTACCACTATTGGTATAACTGACGGGGAGTTCATGTGCCTCAGCCATTGAGTGGGGACTTGAACAGGTCTGGGCAGCTGTTCCTTTCCAGCTTGAATAGTTGGTACCAAACCATTCTTTTGGTATTTCCCACAGGGGATTTGATGGTCTATACAGTTCACCTTTCCCTTTTTCAGAGATTGAATTGCTGAAGAAACTGCTGCCAGAGATGGTGAGGTTTGAGCCCTCTTGGGAGGAGCTGGAACTCTACAAAGATGGGGGCTTGGCTGTTATTGACCAGTGGATCTGTGCACATGCAAGGTAGCAAATCTGACATCTCTGAGGAGCCAGATCTTGCTGTCACAGAGCTGAATACTGTTTTTCACCTAGATATTGCTGTTTACAAATCACATATGACATTATATAATTGATATTTAGTATATGCATAATTATATAGTATGTGTATATATAACTGTGTGTGTATATAAATACGCTGTGTTACTCTGTGTATATAAATACCTGATAACTTAATTATCATTTCAATTAACATCAAGCCCATTTGACTGAAATGAATGACTTGCATTTTTTTGCCTGTCCCTTCACAAACCCACTTTGATTCTTCTCACAGGTATTTTATAGGCACCTCAGTTTCAACGTTTTCCTTCCGGATTCACGAGGAAAGGGAGATCTTGGGGTTTGATCCTAAAACAACTTACAACCGATTTTGTGGTGAAAAAGAGAAGAACTGTGAGCAGCCAACTCACTGGAAAATTGTGTACTAAAAACTACAGAGAAATCCAAGGACTTCACTTACTGGAGACCTCAAAAAGAGTAAGGAAAAACTAGGGGGAAATACCAAACTACAACTCGGTGCCCTTTTCTCCGTGTTTACTTGACCTCTGGGTTGTGAAGTACAAGCAATACTCACCTTCTTAGCCAGGCACTCACAGGAGCCAGGAAAATGCAGGCAGCCTGAGATCCAGTTCCCAGCAAAGCCAGGAC